TTTGGATTTGTGCTGGAAACAGTGTTGATAACACAGGGATGTTTTCATTATTGCTGAGCAGTGCTTACACAGAGTCAAGGACTTTTCTGCTTCTCACCCCACCTCACCAGTGAGCAGGCTGGGGGTGCACAAGAAGTTGGGAGGGGACGCAGTGGGACAGCTGACCCCAACTGACCAAAGGGAAATTCCACACCATATGATGTCATGCTCAGCAATAAAACTAGAGGGGCAGTTTAGCAGGGGGACCACTGCTCGGGGACAGGCTGGGCATCAGTCGGTTGGTGGTGAGCAATTGGTTTTCGTTTGTGTCACTTGTCTGTCTTGGATTTTATTTCCCTCTCTTTTTGTTATTTTCCTTTTCATTACAATTATTGTATTATTTTATTTCAATTAGTATACTGTTCTCATCTCAACCCATGAGTTTTCTCACTTCTACTCTTCGATTCTCTCCCCTATCCCACTGGGGCAGGGGAAGTGAGCGAGTGGCTGTGTGGTGCTTAGTTGCTGGCTGGGGTTAAACCATGACAGACCTCCAAGCTTAAAATGAAAAAGGAAATTTTCATAAACAACATCTAAACAATATACACAATGTTTGTGTGTGTTGGTGTTTCAAAATTGATCATTGTGTTTAAAAAATCAAACCAACCCAAAACCTACCACCTTATTTAGAATATTTAACCCTTACACACTTAGCTCTACATGCAGGAGTCATTTTGTGCTGTTCTGTGCAAATGCCTTTCTTTGAAATAAAAGATGCCCCTCAGTTGGCTTGGTGCCTGGGCCGCTTGTTTCCTTCTTGTGACTTGGTCACATGATGAGTAAAAACTGAAAATACCCAAGCATCAGATAAGGGAAGTGCATAGCAAATGTAGCTAAACTTTGTGTTAATTGTTAAATATAAAGGGAGACTACAAACATGCATTCATTTAGGATGCTACTAGTTTTAAATGTTTTATTTGTGCAAGACTGAATTCATGTAACCTGCTCTGGAGTTGCTCTCTGAAGGGCAACCTCCTTACCTCTTTGAAAGACTGGAAGGCAGTATTTATCAGATGAATGCCGATTGGTTTGCACCGGAATGACCAAACCTGTCTGGACTAGTTACCGATTTGTTTGTTTCTTTTACTCGGCTCTAACATGAGATCTGTTACTTGGCTGCTGTGTGCTCCCTTGTGGGTATGGCTGGAAACGCTTTAAGCCTGGTCTGCAGTGACACATGATATTTAGCTGTTAACCAGCATTTAGTGTTCATCTTTTAATCTCATCTATGCTTATAACTTTTTCATTTATGGTAGCTTTTATTGGATACTCTTTGGTTGCAAAAGATTGTGGGCTTAAGCTGAAAATATGCATGAGTTATGCAAATAGCCATCTAACAATGGAATTTTATGAGAAGCCTTTTTTTTGTACAGGTTCACCGTAGAACTGTATTAGAGATTTGTTTTTAAACTAGATTTTGGAAAATATCCTAAGATATAAAGTAAACATAACTTTGAAATGTATTAAGCAATTAAAGCTTATTCATTTCAGTATTTTTTTAAGAAAAAAGGATGCATTAATATAAAGGTAATCTGATGTTTGATTTTTTTTTTTAAGACTGCAAATTTAAAAAGGAAGTCCCCTTCATTTTACTCTGTATTTACTGTATTTTATTATATGTTAAAAATAGGAATGAAAGTGCTTAGATGATTAAGGAAACTAGAGCAGAAAATACTAATTTATTTTAAGTTATAGTTTATGATTACTGAAGTAATGCACTTATGAATTTGATTTTAAGTTGTCTGTGAACATTTTATTAATCTGTTAGTATACCTTTTGGTCATAGGAAAAGTAGGGTTATGAATTTTGTAATATAAGAACTTTTAAATTCTGGGTAATGCTTATAAAAGAAAGCATTGAGGTCTGGGAGATCAAACTACTTGTCTGTCTTAATTTTGATACAAAGGCCCTGTATCCTTGTACTGCAGTAGCAGAAGACTCTCACTAACTGGTCACCTATTAGGAGCTCTTGGAATTGTTCAAGGTTAGCCAAGCCTGGAATTTTCTATTTTTTTCCAAATTGGCTTTACAAGATATACATCTGTAAGAGCATACATGTTGGTTGTAGCGGATTATATGCATGGAACATGAGTATGATGATCAGTACTCTATTATCTGACAGTCTGATACATGCTTTTATAGTGACTTGAAAAAATGTGCTTTACATTCTAAGTTCTTGGGAAGAAGGAAGGGATGTGCTTTTAAAAACTGCACATGCACTTCTGAAATACTAGAGGGTTTTATATGCTTCTCCTAACTTCAGGACTAGAATTACTGCATTAAATGTATTCTTTCTGGAGGAATATGAAGATACTGTATTTAGCATGTAGACAGCTCTGGAAGGACATTAACAGCTTGCCTGCAGTTCATATTTTATCTGACTGGAAATGGTTATGTGATGAGAACATTTTCTAAAAACAAGTAAGCTGATGTTTCAGATCAGTGTTTCTATAGGTGTTATATTTTGCTCCCACTAGTGGCAATGCAGTAATAGACAATCCTGTTCAGAAAATGTCGTTCAGACTGGCAAAAATTCATGTCTTAATGGTATTATTGCGAGTCTGTAAATAGAGCTGATACAACCTTTTGTGAAGATTTGTTCGTCTGGTCCTGAGGTGTGAATTGAAGTGTTATTTAAGCATGATCAGTTACTCAAGTACAAGGTTTCTAGATTGTCATGCAGAAAAGAACTGAAATAAAGTGGAAGGGAATCTCAGTGTTATGTTAATAGGACATTCAAAACAGGGAAAATTTTTTTTTATCATATTGTTTTCTATTTTGCCCATATTTTTGTCAGGTCATGTTAACTAAGTGTAAAAGAAGCCTTATAATTGTAAAGTATGGTATGTCGTGATTGTAAGGTTTAGAGTTTGTCTTGATAGTTGAATTCATATTGTACCTTAGAATATATATTCACATCTTACCGTAGAATATTGCAGTTGGGCAATGCATAAATGTTAAATAATTTCCTTCATAAACAAACTGTTCCAAGTAAACTAGGAAGGATCCAACAGAGGACTACCAAAATGATAGGAGCCTAAAGCACGTGACCTACAACGAGACGCTGAGGGAGCTTGACAACTTTAATCTGCTGAAGAGAATACTAAAGGGCAATCTTATGGCTGCCTAAATAAAACTTCTAGGCAAGATTGGTTACAAAGAGGGTGGAGCCAAACTGTTACTTAGAGGCTGTGGAATCTCTGTTTTGTGGATTTTTACGACTTGGTTGTACAAAACCATCACTGATCTGAGCTAATGTTGGCAATAGTCCTGCTTTTTTTAATCAAAAAATCAAAAAAAAATTTATATGCCATCTGAAAAGATAAAATGTAGTTTATTAATGAATTTTTCAGCTCTGTAAATGAAAGTGGATTGGGGGAAGATGCAAAATGAACTGTACTAAATATTTAAAATGCATCCTTTTTGTAATAATTTTGCTGTATCAATGATATAAACATTCGCTTATCTGGTGCTTGTCGGAAGGAAAAAAAAATTCATACAGAGACAACTGCCTGATTTATTTTCTTCTTTTTTTCTATTTGCTGTAATATCGTTTTAACTACTGTTACCCAAGTGAATTTTCGCATGTTTTGAGAAACTTAAGAAAAGCCATATCCTAGACAGGAGTAACTTATGATGGTGGAGTAACTTCAGTAGACCTAAATTGGTTAGCATCAGCCGATTCAAGATCTTAGTTGCTGAGTTTAATTTAGTATATAAAAAGTTCCTTAACTGCTTTCTGCTTCTGAAAAACATTATCATATCTAATCCTTTAAAACTGCGTCCTAGAACAAGACCACATGGGGGGAAAAAAACTATAGTTTAAAAATCCCTATGGATTTTGTTTGTTTGTTTTGTTTCACGGAAACAAATTAAATAAGATTTTGTTGTATTTTAACAAAATTATTTTAACTTACTATGTAATGCTGGATTTAACTTCATTTATTGATTTGATAAAGTAGATTTTTGAACATTGTTTTTCTTAAATTTTTTATATATTAATGTTCTTATTTTTCATAATATTGGTGGATGGAATGAATAAAATCATATGGAGGGCAAAACCGTTGCTTTTCCTTGAAAAAGCAAATTTTTATAAAAGGAGCTACAAAAACTGTAGTTTTTATGAGCACAAATGGTCTTAGTAAAATATTACTGCAAATTGAATGAAAGTGCTCTAAAAACCCAAGTTCAGTCAACTATTGTATAAATATGGAGAATGAAGGTATATTTTTTTTAATCTAGACAGAAGAAAAAAGTATCTTAATGACACATTCAGAAATTCTTTCAATATATTGAAGTTTTCTTTTTGTTACTTTTCTTCTTTTTGATATAAAAATCTTGTCATTTACCCCAGTTGTTAACTGTATTTGAAACTCGTGAAATTACATAGTTTTAGAAAGATAAAATAAATGTAAGCTGATGGACCAAGAATACTTCTTTCTTTTTTACGAGAAGAGAGGCTGCTGGCTCTTACATTAGCCCAATATCTGTTTCTAGCTAGAAAACATCATTATGTGGCTTTGCTATAATAATACTACAAGATGACTGGTCTAAAATGTGTAGTCTAAAATTACTACATAATGTTATGGTGTGATCTCCACATACACGTGTTCGTGCAGCATACGTAGAAACTTGTATTCACTTTTTCCGAGGACAGACAAAATTTAAGTGTGTCAGGTGTTTCTTTGTTTTTGTAGATACAGTTAAACCAGTTTGCTTTAAAATGTGCTAAATGCTACAGTCTTTCTTAGGAACACTGTAATATGATGATAAATTGTTACCTTCTTAATTCTTTCTGAACTTTTTTTTTAAGGGTCAAGATGGATAGCACAGATGAACCTCAGAAAAAAGTCTTTAAAGCACGAAAAACAATGAGAGTAAGTGATCGACAACAACTTGAAGCTGTCTATAAGGTTAAAGAGGAGCTGTTGAAGACAACTGAAGTTAAACTGTTAAATGGAAAGCATGAGAATGGAGATTCTGATTTAAATTCCCCTTTAAGCAATACAGACTGCATGGAGGACAAGAGGGAAGTTAATGGCCTAGTGGGCTTGTGTGTTAACTCTGAAGAAGAAAGAACAGGTTCTGATGAAGTTAGTGAAGCCAAAAGCCCTGAAAGTAGGGCAGGGAACATAGTCCATGACATAGAACCCAAACCTCTAACGCTGTCTCCAGAGAATGTTCCTTCTGAGCAAAATAAAGATACTGATACTGCTTTAGCTTGTGAGGCTGAAAATGGAGTGCTTGCTAGCAATAAAGATAACTTCCATGAAGAAAATAATACAAAAGATCATTTGGACCAAAGAGAGAGTGACATCCCATCAGAAGGTGAAAGTAAATCAATCTGTGATATTAGTGACTCTTCTGAAGAGAAGGGAGAAACAAATGACTTAGCTATTCATTCCGATGCATCTGGCAAGGAAAAGAGGACTGAAGAAGTAACTGTTGAAGATGCTGTTGGAGAAGAAGCCATCTCTAGCAGTATGGAAGCTGACCAGGAACCAAAGGACAAACGAGATGGCACTGCAGGTCTTTCAGAAACCACTGCTCAGAAGACAATAGATGACCCAAGTGAAAGTATCTTGGACAGTACTGAATCTATGGAAACAGATGAAATTATTCCAATTTTGGAAAAACTAGCCCCGGCTGAAGATGAACTGAGCTGTTTTTCTAAAAGTTCTCTGCTTCCAGTGGATGACACAGTCCCAGATTTAGAAGAGAAAATAGACAACTGTTTGGGTTCACCATCCAAGCAGGAAAACAATGAAAGTCTGCCAAAAGAGGCTTTCTTAGTACTGTCTGATGAAGAGGATCCCTGTGATGAGAAGGAGGAACATGCTGAAGTGATACTACCAAACAAGTCAAGTCTTCCAGGTAAGAATTTTCTAAATTGGTAGTTCTGATTCAAGTCTGGGATTCTGTTCGTTTCTTAGAATGACATACTTATGACATGTTTCCAAATCAAAAAGGCAGTCTTACCCACCAATTCTGTGTTATGTAGTCTTACAGTTTTCAAGGATGGAATTTGAGGCCCAGAAGAAAATGAAAGTAACACCAAAAAAAGTAATTTTCGAGATCTGGTTTGTTTTGGTGTTTTTCTCATACTCTTTGCAAGCTGGGGTGGGGTGGTGGGTGGAAGAAGAGGAAAGATGAGTAATGGCCAGACATGGAACAGAAAGATTTGTGGGAAGAGAAATGTGTTCCTTTACTGTTCTTGAGGGGAAGAAAGGATTTCAACTTTCTTCAACGTGCAAATAAATAATAAGAATGAAAACATGCTGGTAATCCAGGCATGCCACAAATCCCATTTGTTTCAAATTTCTTCTTTCACCAAAAGACAGTATTGGAAAGGTTTCATGAAAAACGCAAGTCATGTATGGTTTTCATGCCATATAGCTTTTATTCATTTAACTCATAGCGGTTTTTATCTAACTTTAAATCAGCTGACATAATCATAAGAGAACATTTGAAAGCATTAACTGTAGGAAGCTGGTCCTTTAGTCTCCTCATGTAGTTAGCAGAAGATTTTTTTATATTAAACTGAATGGATGTCCTCTATAGTCTATTATTGTCATATAGTTTTGTAAGCTTTTTTTTTTTACATCGGGCACTCATTGTCATACTACTGCACTTCTGAAAATAAAACAGATTAAAAATTTACAGATAAGTTGACACTGCTCTTTCATCTGTAATGAAGAAAGCTGTTGTTTCAAATGATCTCGGGGTTTTTTTCTTTCTCCCCCCTCCCCCACATTGTATAGCTTTTTATGAACTGATGACCATGCTAACCCAAATGTTTAAACATGCTTATCTGGGTAGCAGTTCCATTGATTAAACAAGACTCAGGTGTCTTTCAGTCTCTGGGAAGTTAGTTAACCATAGTTTCTTAACTCTTGTTTCACTAATGATGAAACTGTGTCTTTCACTAAAGTGTGATGGCATTCTGAGTCTTAAGTCTCTAAACAACTAGAGAAGGGGAGATAAGAATATGTGTCTTCAGCCATGTTTCAGACTCTCCCTTCTTTTCTGGTGTTTACCTTTAAATTTATGCCAGTTAAACAGAGAAAAGGTAGGTTCCATAGTTTCTTCTAAGGATCTTATTTAGGTATTAGGTGTTGCACTGAGATTGCAAAAGTGATACCATTGTTATGCAATTAAAGTCTTCCAGAAACTATTTGGAGGTGGGGGGTGGCAGGAAGAAAGAATATTGTGTCAAAATTGGTGTGTTACGAGTCCCTTTTATAAAATGTACATTACAAAAAAATTGATGATCCTTGTTCTTACCGCAGTTTAAGGGTTCTTTCATTGGAGATGAATGAAATTAGGATATCAGGGTTGCTTTTTTCATCTTACCCGATGAGAAAACACACTGTGGTCACAGAGGAGTTTTTGCTCTGGAGCAAAAAGACCGAAGTGAATATTAAATATTGCACTACAGTTTGCAGAAGTCTAAAATGATTGTATGCAGCAATATCTTTTCAGATTTTCAGTTTCGGTGACGGGACAAATTCTCTTGACTAGTTGTTTTATTTATTGGCTATAACAGTTTGACTTTTACAGTTGCATGGCTGTAACTGAGACTGTTCGTGAAATGAAAACTGGCCACTGTGAAGTATGTTTTGTCCTTAACCTGCAGTCACCTGCTAATTTCTGCGTTCTAAGCTTCATAAAGCTTGCCCATTGAGTTGCAGAGAAGGGAATTTAAATTTTTCTGAGTAGTACCTTCTGTGTGAAATATTTCAAGCAAATATTTTGGGGATGCATTTTGTACTAAATCTAATATGGTATTAATACAAAAATTTTGCAGTCCTTTCACCTATTTCAATCTTTCAATAACGAAGATAATAGCAGAGAGGTTGCAGGGGCAGGAAACAATTGTATGAGAAGACAGGTAGGGTTGTCTTAGAAGATAAAGATTAACTTTTGGAAAGAGTCTGTGAGGATTAAATCTGTGGAGACGAAATGGAGGTCATTTGAAGATGCTATCGGAGGCACAGGTGCAAGCTGCTCAATTAAAAAGTATGGTTTTCAAAAAGCCCAGACGAAAACCAGCATGGCTAAACAACGATGTAAAGAATGGTACTAGAAGACTTTCTTCAAATGAGCAGATTAATAGAATCTTTTTCTCAAGTAGAATTAGTAAATATAATAGCTATGTTGGCATTTAAGATTTTTGTAATGGAAGATCATACATTAGAAAACCTTGGAGCTCTTTGGGTAAGTAAACAAGCACATAACAAGGAAGACCTGATTGATATATTTGAATTCTTTTGGATATCCAAACACAAATGATTTCTTACCAAGAACTTTTGGAAACTGAACTGTCTTTGGATAAGATGGAAAGTTCCCGTGGAGGAAATAATCATTTGAAGAATGGAAAGTAAATCTACAGTGATCTGTTCCAGAGACTGTGCTGTGTGACAGAATTAATAATTTATCTAAAATGAAGGGTGACTAGCGAGGTGGCAGTTTGCTGATGATACTACGAAGAGCTGTAGAAGAATCCTACAATGCTGAATGACTGGGGTATAAAAATGGCAGATGAAACTCACTGTGGTTAACTACGAAGTGGTACAGATGAGTACGAAAATGTTCATAACTTTTCATAAGTTATGAACTCAGTCATAAGATAAAACTGACTCACCACTCAGGAACGATCTTCCAGGATTATAGTAGGTAGTTTTGTGAAAACATTGATGCAGTAGCAGTTGAAGAAAGCAAATAAAGAATGCTGGGAATAAATTAACAAACTGAGGAAAACAAGAGACACAAATTAACAAACTGGGACACCAAGCTCTTAAATGTTTTGTATAATTCTGTTTCCTTCCCCCTCCCCATATCAAAGATTATGTCACAGGACTGAAAAAGGTACATGAAAGAGCAACAGGGAAGGTGATGGAATTGCATAGTAATTTTAATTCAACCCTCTGATGGTCTTTATTCCAACCCCCTACTCAAAGCAGGTCTAGTTACATCAGATGGCTCAGGAACCTTGGCAGTTTACCTCTGTACATCTCCAAGGATGGATACACCACAACTACTTGGGTAGACCAATACTTAACCAACCTCAACAGTGAAAATCTTTCTGCTTAATTGGAATCTTCTGTGTTCCAACTTGTGTCCATTGCCTCCTGTCCTGTTGCTGTGCACCTTAGAGTAGTGGCTCCATCTTCTCTCTGCCCTCCCATTATGTAATGGAAGGCAGTGATACAATCTCCAATTAGTCTTCACTTGTTAAGGCTGAGCAGAGCCAGTTCTGTCATCTGCTCCTCATATAGCATGTACTTCATTCCCTTAACCTTTCTGGTGACCCTCCGCTGGACTTGCTGTGGTTTTGTCAGTGCCTTTCTAGTACTGGGGATCCAATAACCGGACATATTGCTCCAGATGGGGTTTCTCAAGTGCTGAACAAAGGAGAATCACCTCCCTTATCCTGCTGGACACATTTCTTGTTAATACAGACTGAAATGCTATTGAACTTATTTCACACTGCTGACTAATGTTCAAATTGTTTTCCACTAGGAATCAAGGCCCTGTTCTACAAAGTTACATTCTAGCCAGTCAACCCCTAGCCTGTCCTATTGCATAGTTATTCTATCCCAGATGCAGGACTTCGCATTTGCACTTGCTGCACTTTGTGTTAGCCCATTTTTCCAGCCTGTCAGTGTGCCTCTGAATAGCAGCTATGCCCCACAGAATATTTACCACTTCCCCCAGTTTGTATCTGCGAACTTGCCAAATGTGATCTCTTGCCCCAGGTCCAGGTCATTAGTAAATATGATAAACTGCATCAGCCCAGTATGGATCACTGAGGACTGCCTCTAGTGCTAAGCCACTGGCTAGACTATATACCACTGATGCCAATTCATTGACCCCATTGTAAAAAGCTTCCAGGTCTGTCAGGTGCGATTTGCCCTTGCTAGATCCAAGCTGGCTACTCCCAGTCACCTTCCTCTCCTTTGTGTGCCTGGCAATGACTTCCTATGAGGATTTTTTTTCCATAACCTCCCCGAGATGTAAGGTGAGGCCAACCAGCCTGTAGTTTCCCTGAATCATCCTCGTTGACTGTCTTGAAGATGGCTGTGGCATTTCCCTTTTTCCAGTCATCAGGAGCTTCCCTTGGTTGCTGTGAAGATGATAGAGAGAGACCTCACAATGCCAGCAGCCTACCTCCCTCAGCACTCTTGGGTACATCTCATCTGTTCTTGTGGACTTCTCTATATCCACCTGGCTTAAGTGTGCCCTAGCTCTATCTCCTTGACTGTGGATAGCACTTCACTTCTGCAGACTCTGCCAGGGTCTCTGCCTCTGCTCTCAGGAACTTAGGAGGGAAACTTGCCAGTGAAAAATGGAGACAGAAAAGTTGAGTACCTTGGCATATTCCATGTCCTCAGTTATTAGCTTGCCTGTCCCTATGAGCAGTGGCTCCACAATTTTCCTTAGCTTTCCTTTTGCTGCCATTGTAGTTCCAGAAGCCCTTCTTGCCCTTCGCATCCCTTACTGGCTTCAATTCCAGTTGAGCTTTGGCTTTTCTTATTTCATTCCTGCGCAACTGGACAATGTCCCTGTATTCCTCTTACTTCCTCCTCCTGTGTAGTTCTTTTTTATACTGGAGCTCTGTCAGGAGGTCCCTGTTCACCCATGCTGGCTTTCTTCCATGCTGGCTCTACATTCTGCACATTGAAATGAACTGTTCTTGTGCTTTGAGGAAGCTGTCCTTGAAGAACAACCAGCTCTCCTGGGTCCTTTTGCTTTCCAGGGCAGCTCCCTTTGGGATACTACCAAGTAGGTCCTGAATAAGGTGAAATCTGCTGTCCTGAGGGCAAGGACTGTAATGATATTCATCCTGCTGACTTCTTGCAGGATTTTTAATT